CACAGAGGAAAAACTTTGTGGTTCCTTTAGACTTTCTGTCATATTTGATAACTCACTGTTAGACACAGAGCCAGAAAGCATAAGCCTCTCCCACATAATGGTTGTGGAAAGAGGGGGAATTGTGCCTGGAAAGATCTGTGAAATCATGAGGATATAAAACATTCTGTTTCCCGGCTGAAAGACTTTCTGAGTGGGTAACAGATCTTACCAGTACTATCTGTGATGTTGATTTGGCGTTTGCAATTGATTTTATGCCTCCACCTCCAAGGACTCAAGCAGTAATAAGTGCTTGTCTTGGTTTGACGAGACAGGAGTCTGTGAATGAGGGCAAAAGCCTCCTGTGCAATGGAGAAGGTAAACCCCCTCCCTCCAAATTACCAGGATTTTTAAATTAAAAGGCTCTCAGGCAAAGATATGGGAACTGGAGTAACAATTCTTTACTAGGAGGAACTAAATAACAATTTAAAAAGGCAAATGCAATTGATACAAACAAAACTAGTGATAAAGTCCACAACCTGAGGATTCGGGGTGTTGGTAGCAGTCCAGTTGAAATGACAGCTGCTCCTCTTGCAGTGGCTGATGAATTGCAGCTGCAGTGGTGATCTTTAGAAGGGTATAGTTTTTCTCTGAAGATCTGGTGGCAGTGGGGCCGGTCTTCCTCTGCACCGGGGCCGCCTCCGAGCTCCGCCGCCGCCACCGCCTCACCGCGCTCCGGCCGCTTCTCTCGGAAGTCCTGCCAAAGGAGCTGCTTCTCTGGCAATCCCGCAAAGAGAGAGCTGCTCTGTCCCCCAAAAGGTACCCCTTTTATACAATAAAAGAGTGCTTGGCTTCCCCCTCTGGGTGGAGCATCTCACAATGGGATGGTGTTATGTTACCAGGCCTGCAGTGAGTCATTCAATGGCCCATTAAGAAACCATTACCTCTTCGGAGCAAACCATTGTTCTTGGAAGAGATAACAAACCTGCCCAACCTCCAACAGATGGCAAATAGAATACAAGCTTATCTTACAAACCAGGACACTGCTTAACAAATAACAGGAATATCATTAAACACCTCCACTCCCATAATTACCAATCATTAGTCCTCAATAGGAGCTTCAAGGTCATATGCTCAGTCTGACAAAGCAGACTTTGATCCATTAAACACTTCGGGTTTCACCTCCAGGCAAGGCCTCTAGCAGAAGGGGCTTTATCTTCAGCTACTCAAAGAAAGTTAATCATTTTAGATAAAATGCAAAATTCTGAGCTTCAGGATGGTTGGGTACTACAGAGCCCATAGATTTTTCCCAGAGTGCAACCAGACACCAGATTTCTCTCAGGAGAGGAGCTGTGCAGTGATCTGGGTTGCTCTGACCCTCAGCAGGCCTGGATATTTCCTACACAGCTGGGAGATCTCTGCAGCAAAAGGGAGGTCCTTGTACACAACATATTTTGAAGAAACACAATTACTGCAGGACATTGTCTTCTTTGTCTTCCAATTTACCAGAAGCAAGCTCCAAAGTGACAATACAAACTGCCAGAGAAGCTGATTTTAATCACTCATGACTCATTTATAACTATGAATTAAATTTTCCAACTATACAGCATTTATTTTGATTGCATTTTATAATGACAGTTGCCATCCTAGTTACCAAACACTAATTTATGATATAGGTTAATTTTGCATTATTAATGAACTATCAAAAAGGCAGTGTGACTTACAGTACTGACATTTAGCAAGTCACTAAAATATCAAGAGAAGAAGTAAGAACTTGAGAGTTTCTTCTTTTCCTTTCAGGAAAACAGAAAAGAACCACAGATAGGAAAGTGAATTTTGTCAGAATATTTATTCTTTTTTCATCCTGATGTATTCCTTCATTTATGAATTTTAATTTTATATCATTTTCCATTCAATTAAAATCACTTAAACAAACATTTAACAGCATGTGGATTGTCTTTTGGGAACACTGTCCATCAGATTTTTCTCATTTCATGGCAACATTCAAGCAATTAAGGTTTTAATGAGGCTGAAAATTTCCAGCCCAAATAATGTAATGAGTTTGAGTATCTTCCAGAACAACTGTGGCAATAATTCGGGAATGCATTTAACCGTATGCTTGAATTCATAACTGTGTTGTTGGGCAGCAGCTGTCTGCCTCTTAAGTGAGGTGTAAAGCTCACACTTAACATTTGCTGAGCTCAGAGGGTTCATTGCACCCTTGCTTTGCCTGTGTGAGAAGTACAAAGTACAAGATTGCCATTTTCTCACATCACATTCCGCTAGCTCAGTGTACCTGCTCATATCCACAGATTACTCAAATCCATTACTTATTTTCAGTTTTAAAATACCACTAAAGATTGCACAGTATTTCTCAAATGGGAGGTAAATTCGATTCTGTTACTGAACAGAATACGAAAAATTAAACTATATTGGCACCATGGACTAGGCTGTGTTGATGAGTGTCAGGACTTCTAATTCTGTATCTGTGGTAAACGAGAATCCTTCATTTCCTCTTCTTTTAGAAGGTGTCTTAGGGTGACTTTATGATACTTGTATCATCTGTACTGTTTATGCTGGATTTTAAGTCCTGCACCTGCAAGGCTGGTTCTGAGAGCGAGGCGGGGAGAAGCAGCGCGCAGTTTGTTTTCAGGAGCTGCACTCGCTCCTCCACGTTCCTGCTCCTGGACTGAGCTGTCTGCAGCACGGACAGACAGCGGGACAGAGCTCTCCTTTGCTTTTAGCCAGGTTTTAGCTGGCTGAGCCAGAGAAGTTCCCTGGGCAGTGGCTTTTGTTTCTGGGAGCTGATCAGACCTGCTCTGGACTGGACACCCAGAAGAGCTCTGGGAGCTCACACCCGGGGCCCACCCAGGCCTGGGCTGGGGCATTTCCAGCGCAGGAGGGGCTGAGAAGAGACTGAGTGAGCCGAGCTACAGCCCACGGAAAGGACTCTGAGTTTGCCATCTCTTCAGGACAGTGAGAGGTGTTATTGTTTAATATAATTTCATTTTTTATGCTTGTGAATGCTTTGCTTCTTAAATAAACAGTTTTTTCCCACTTTTCTCCAAGGAAATATTTTTCCCAAACCATTTGCGGGAGGGGCTACTTGAATTTGCTTTCTAGAGGGACCCCATTCAGAGGCTTCTCCCCAAATTTGCCCTAAATCAGGACAGAAGGGTTTTGCAACCTGATAAAAGCAGTATTTGTTTTCTTAAAATGACTTCATACACATTATTTATTTGACTGTGAAATAAACATTCATCTTCAAAAATAAAGAACTAATTAGTTTGTGGCAATTTCCAGATACCATCAGCATACTTTCCAGAGCCACAGTAGCAAGAATTCTATGAAAATTATTCCACTATTTAGGTAACCATAGCACAGTTGTCTTCAAGTTATTCTGCAAGAAAAGATGCTGGCTTGCTGCCAGCATAACCAGCATTTGTCCCAGCCAAGAAAGTAACTTCATAAACACATCAATTTTTTTTTTTTCTAGTGAGAAAAATAAATAAAAAAGGAAGCAAACCACCAAAGAATTCTAAAACAAATTTAAATAAAAAGTAAATGGCCAATTTTAAAACTGTCACATAGACTTTGATTCTGAATGTTCTTCCGAGATAAACACTAAACTCCTTGAAATAAGAAAACTATTTTTTATTTGAATAGTGATTCCTTGTTTCATATCTATGTGTTTGATTTAAAAATTAACTATAAACACACAAAAATTTAAAGTAGCTAGTTCAGTTGCTTTTAAAATGGTAAATTAACTTTACTTTGCATGATTAAGAGAAGGATTAGACTGATTCTTAAACATATTGTATTTTAACACCCTAGGCCAGATTCATCCTTAAAGGAACTCAACAGAACTGAAATGATCAATGAACAAATTAACCCTCTTGAATTTAACAGATAATTCAGTACCAATTAATATTACACTTTAAATATTAACTTCATGTCTTTAATTATTTATAGTTTTGGTGTATCTTTTTAATAATGATATAATTAGCATAGCCATGAGGGGATATATAGTCATTTTTGAAGAAGTTTGATTGCAAGATATATTTTGAGTATAGTTTGTTTGTAGCAGAATTTATGAAAGAGAGAGGACACGATTTATATTTGGAATGAAGGTTGAGCTACCCCAGCCTAGGCCTCAGATGTGGGCCTCGGTGAGGCCTTTGAAGCCTATGGTGCAGTTAGGAATTAGTCTGTGGCGCAGTTAGAAATTATGTTAAGGTGTAAGCACAGAGCACTGGGCTTTCTGGGTGTGAATTAGTATAGGTCTGCAGTGTGAAACTTTAGCCACCTTAAGACAAAGGGAAACAATGTTTTCTTGCCAATGAGAGTGTTCTCACAATTGTAAACTGTGTATATAAACTGCCATCTTATAAACAATAAAGGGAGAACATATGATTAACCACATTGGTTCAGATCTATGTTGGTCCTGTCCAGCTCCTGATTATCACGAGGCCCTTTGTTTTATCTGGCGCCCGAACAGGGACCCAGAAGACTCTGATGAGTTCCCAAATTGTACCTATGGCGATGGGGAACTTTCTCGGAATCGCGTGAAAAGATGCGACAGGAGACACAGATCCCAAATCACTATTATTGCGACGGGAATCGGAATGCCGGAGCATTTAAGATTCCAAACTCCAAATCGTGCAGGTCGCAATGGGAGAAAGGTTTCCAGATCACTTGCTTTGAATCAGGAAACACCAGAGCACACCATGGAAAACTCCGCAATTCACACATAGCCCATGTGGCGAAGGTGAATGCAGACGGAGCAGGGAGCTGGAGCGGTGTCGCCGCAGTGTCGAGTGAAAGCTAAGGAGTGCCCTGCACTGGTTGGAAGGTAAGACACATGCAAAGAGACTGAAATTAAACAGCAATTTGGAAGCAGCAGAGCGGCTTCTTTTGCATTTTCTCTCCAAGAGACAGGAAAAGATAAAAGAGACTGAATTTGGACACTTGGCCCTGTGGGCCAGAAACAAGGGCAAATTGCAGAAGCCCTCGCTCATGTTTAGCTAGACCGAGTGGCATGAAATAGGGCAACTGCTTTAGGATTCTGACATTGAGGGCAGAAAAGATAAAAAACTTGAATTCGGGGCAGTTTGGAAGAAAGTTTTACGTACCTTGCAAAGTATGTCCGCCAAGAAAAAAGCAGCGGGGGCTGTGATTCAGGCGTTTGAAGGGTCTGTTGCAGAAAAGATAGAAGTGCAGAAGCCATCTCAGGTCGAGAAGTTTTTTGGTGTTTATAATATGCACCCAATGCAAGGGCAAAAGGCTCCAGTCAGATCTTCAGCACAGGAGGTGATCACACAAATGGAGGTGGAGGCAGCGGCGGGAGTCAGCTGCTCGCAAGCAGCAGAACTTTGTGCATAGGCAGTGGAAGTGACTCGGCCAGCTGCCAGGCAGAATGAAGGACAACAGGAAGTGGGCCAGCCACCCCACTCTTTGGGTGGGGTGAAACCCAAAGAAGAGAACGCATGAATAACCATATTGGTTTGATCTGTGTTTCTCCTGTCCAGCTTTCCCTATTATTTATAAGGTCTCTTGCTTCTCAAAGTTAGGTTTTTCCCTTTACATTTCAACTCCTTCAGATTCTGAGGAACTCAGCTGGTGAGTTGTATGGCTGACAAAGGCAGGATGGACAAAGCAGCTGACTACCAATGCTTTTAAATCCCAGCTGAGAAGTTCTCACTCCACTGAAAATCTGTAATAAATATAATCCACACCAACCACCAACACTTGGGGAAGTTCATTCTTTAATCCGATTTGACCTTAAAAGACAGTAAAATATTTGTCTGTAGATTCTTGAGTTTACCTCATACCACTTTTAACAGGTGATCAGAATTTTTTGTTGAAGTTGTTATCCTTTTTACAAAAAGAAAAAAGAAATTTTTTGAATGGGAAGAAACAAGCAGTGTAAACAGAACTTCAAAAAAGTGTAAATTATCCAAAATCACACCTGCACCTCAATGCCAGAGAGGATAAATAGCCAGATACACACACATGGCCACACAAACTAGGCTTTTCTTTGATGCCCCTGTTACAAATGCTGACCAAAGGCTGTGTTATGGTTTGATACTGGTACAATGCTAGCACCCCTATGAAAATGCAACCTCCCAAATGAATGATGTGAGATGCGATCAGAAACAGAGCAGAGAAGGCTTAGGCTTAATAATAAAGGAAAAACTTTATTAAACTACTACTACTATAAAAGGAAAAAGCAAGAAAAACACACATTAAAAGCAAAAGGAAAACTTTCCAAAACATTCTTCCTCCCCCACCCCCCAAGTCTAACAAACTACAGTGAGACACAACTTGCACTCTTAATCAGGTTCTCACCCTTCAGATAATCAGTATTCAGTCTATTAAGGGAGAGAGGAGTCTCCCCTGTGCCACAGACCCCCCAAGAAACACAATTGCCACCTCTTGTGTTTGCATGTCACACATGGCACCACTTAGAGAAAACCTGCCAGTGTGACACTCTCCTTTCTATGCACAGTGCTCTCACTACTATGTAGGGACAGACTGCTCATAGGGTTGTTTTGTTTTTTTAAGGATGCTTTGCTAAGGACTAAAGGAAAAATAACAGTTCAGTTTCTCATTTTTGGGACTACAGTCTTCTTCATTTTCTTCCTCCCCTGGGTCCGAGGGTCTCAAGAACAGAGATCATCGTCTTTCTGAAGACAGAGGGCATCACTACACCTTCATCAACTCTGTTCACTTTACTCTTGTGCTGGTAGTCACTGAAGCAGGTCTTTTGGCTTACCATGTATCTTCTTAAAATGCAGTCTCTCTTGGAGGAGAAATTGGTTCCGTTTATGGTTAACAAGAAAAGTCTAGCTAAAAGCCACTCTATCATCTCTTCCCACCTAGAATTTCTCTTTCTAACATCTCAGGTCTCAGACTGTCTCTTTTCTTCTCTTTTAAATTGAGGAGGAGTAATATTTCACAAAGCTTTTATCACCTAAGAAGGGGTTAAATGTCTCAAATTCCCAGGACGGCCGGTGGCCAGGATCTTTACCTAGACTTACAGCTCTCACGCTGGGCACCTCCTGCCCCCACCCCCCCTTCTCCTTTCCTGCACCGTTGCTGTCTCTTTCTCTCTCTCTCCAGAGAGACTCTGGAGGGGGGAGCGCAAACATCTTTGATTTCCTCTACCCTTCTATGTGTAGGAAGCCGGAGATGGTTCCAGCTCCTCTACTTTTTGGCCTACTTCAGCCTGGCCCACATGACTCCCCTCCCCCACATAACCACGGGCTGAGCAAGAGAGAGTCTGCCCTGCACTCTGACTAGAACTAACAAGAGAAAGTTCTTTTAATGCCTCTGTGTTCTCAGAAGCATGTCCAGCCTTCAGTTGTCACCCCAAATGTCAATATCCAACCCTGACCACCGACTGGTTTGACTCTCTTCTTCCCGAGAAAATTCTTTTCCATGTCAAACCACAACAGGCTGTCTTGCTTACATTTATGAAATAAATATGTGAAATCAGGGCCCAAGGCAAATATATTACTGACTAGTGATTTCCTGTTGTGTTTACTGAAAGTACAAGGCACAAAATAACAAGAAAGGAATAAAATCCAGGTTGTAATACAAGCTTTAACAGCATATTGATGCTGGTAGCATTGTATTTTTCTGCACTTATTTTATTAAGATATATCTGCAAGTACCAGCTTAGTCACTGATTTCATGGAAAACTTGTGAGCACTGGCTGACTTCCCATGTTTGTCTATCAAGGAACTCTTTAGAGAAGTGCCATCTCCAACATCTCCATTGCTCTCCAGCCACATCTCCAGTTCCCACACCAGTCTACTTTTTCACCATTTTTCAGCAAATTCAACACCTCCCCTCTCCCAATCCTGCTTCTATCCACACTGTAAGGCAGATTAGAGAGAAACACACTGAACCAAAAAGAGCCCTGCTCACAAACCAACCAAATTGTGTTTCCCAGTCCAGGCCGGGGTGTTAACAAATTTGCTTTTTCTAATACATTGTTTTTTTTGCTCACTCTCTTTGCTCTTTTGCCATGGTGAGGAAGTAACATCCTCACATTTGGAGGAAAACTAAGAGCAGGTACCTCTTTGATGCCATGTTTGCAAAGACACATGGAGGAGACTGGATTCTGCACAGAAGTGGTCTGCCTTATTGGTCCCCGTCCATCCCACACTGTCAAGCCGTGAAGCAAGCAGTGTTCTCTCTTTATGTCTGCAACATGCTCGGGGTGAGCAGGCACAGGGCTCTCACAGCCACCACGAGAGGATAACTGGCAGTGTGGCCAAGCCCAAGGCAATGCCTGGCCAGCAGCCTCTGGACCAGCATCTCCTGTGCTGCTGGAGCCCCTGCTGGCTGCCCTGCTCTGGGATCTCTAGACCAGAGCCATGAGACACAGTGCAGACACATCATCTGGGCCTCTGCTGCTCCTCAGGTTTGTGCAGCAAGCACTGCTCTGTCTGGCTGCCTGCTGATGCTGTCTGCTCCAACAGAGGTTCTCCTTCTTTCCTCTGTCCCAAATACACAGCTCTCACAAACCCTGCTAACATCATTCCTCTGCACAAGGACCTCCATTTGCAGAGTCCATGGACTCAGAGTGGCACACTTTTCAAGTGTTTATTTCATCAAGGACTGTAGTCACGTGCTCTGTTCTAGGGCAATGAAGATGTTCAGTTTACTTGTCACCTTGTCCTCCTTCACCCCACTGCCCGTATTCTGCTCTTCCTCAGCCCTTTCTCACCACCTTCAGCTACCTTCAGATACCTTTTGTAGTATCTTATTTTCTCCAGCTTCTTCCCACAAAAAAGCTGATGTGCAAGTTGCTTTCTCTGCGCTGTGCAGAGCAAACATATCTCACATCAAACCTTACTGCAACCAGCAAAGGCTCTGGAGAGACCCAAGTCTTAAGGCTTCTCCACAAGACCCAACTCACTTTGACAAAGACAAGTCCAGGCTGCAATCTCAATTCAGAATGGAGAGAAAAAGTGAGCAATTACTATAGTTGCATATCTGGTAGTCTGAGACAATGGGCTGATGTTCAGATATGATGATATAAGAATTAAAATAATATTATACTAATATTTATTAGATTCTATATTATAGGCATTGCATATTATATTAATGGAAGGTTATGTATTGGGCTATGGAAATTAATTGGTTGTTCCTTGTTTTTTCCCTACCATAGCTTTGGAAAAAACCCAGTGTATGTTGTATAGAAAATGGTCCCATTGAGACCATTTCCAAATATTATCTCCATTTGTGGTGAGACAGAATTTTCAGGATCATTTCTTCTGTGCTACTTTGAACACACATCAGTTTATGTTAATACTCACTAACCACTATTGAAAATTTTCTTTGAGGAATATGGAGTTAGAAATACTACATTTAAAAAATCAGTCATCAGTCACCAAGTTCGCATGCAATGTTTTAATGACTAATTTTTTTTTTTTACATTAAAATCAAAGTGGGATAAATCAAAGGGCTAAGGATTCTAAATTAAGTCAGTGTGTTCTGACCATTCTAGTATAACTTAAGGTTGAGCTCCTGAGTAAGTGGAGCAGAAATCCGCAAAACCAGCTTCTGTGGAAAAAAGAGACACAAAATAATGAATTATGTTAATGTAAAAAAACCAACAAACCAGTTCAAAACAGAGGTTAAGAAGTGAAACTAGAGTTTAGACCTTCATGCTTTCTTTAACATATCTGGTAGGTGAGACTAACTTGATGCCAGTATGCATCTTCCTACTGCTGCATCCAAT